AAAGAGAAGTTGTGTTAAGGACAAGGCCCCAGTGGTGGAGAGGGTACCTAAGAAGTGATGCTGCACACTGGATCAGACCTCTAAGAAAGTGTTGCTGGGGAAGAAAGAACCTCCAGCCTCGCCTTCTCTCAGTCGCTGAGGGCAGCAAATCCCCGCTGCTCTTCTTGCTCCCACTGCTGCTCCTGCCGGTGCCACCGGGCTGCCTTCCGCTCCCTTTTCCGAATGGCCTGCCACACCTCCATTTCCGCTGTCAGTGGCCCTGGCACCTGGAGGATTTCTGGGAAGGTATAAGGTAAGACCTATACAAACTATCCTTGGTAAAAATGTAAGAAAATAGAAAAGATCTAGCCAGGATCTCTGATGCCTTCCCACTCTGCTGCTTCCTCTTCCAGCTGACCTGAGCTTTGCTGTAATCATAAGCATCTGGATTCTTCTCCATGAAGCTCAGGAACTCATCACGTGTTGATTTGTCAGCTGCAACTGTGTACTGTGGCCGGGGCCGGGAGTCCCTAGGTGCGAAAACCCAAAAAATGAGTTCAACATCACCTGCCTCCGGCTCCTCCCAACATCACCCAAGCAGACCAGGGGAAGCACTGCCAAGTAGCTGGTGCCAAGATCATCGTCAGGAGGGGTCGGCATGAGGGCCCTTACCTACTGAGCCTCTCCCAGCTCTGGCGGCTGCATGCAGGAGGGTGAAGCCACCAGAGCCCAAGGGGGCACTGAGCAGAGACAGAACTCCAGGGTCTAGGGGGCTGGCAGCTGGCCGGAGCTTCAGCATCCCCCATCTCCAGCTCGGCAAGCAGCCAAAAGCACATCCCGGAGCTCCGGCTGACCAGGGGACTTGGCCTCATCTGGGGAAGGCCCCAGAGGGGCTGACTCTGGTCTGGGGAAGGCCCCAGAGGGGCTGCCTCTGGAAAGGCCTCATCTTCTCGAGGTTGCTGCGAAAGAATCATTTGCACCCCAGCCTCCAGGTCTTGGTTTCTCTCCCTCTTATTCCTTTTTCTCCTCCTCTGCTTGGGCAATACCTCAAATTCACGAAGATCCAGCGTCCCCAGTGTCACCTCTACTAGCTCCAACTCTACCTGGGAGCCATCCTCTCCCTCTGACTCTGAACCTAGGGAAAAATTTGCTATGTTAGATCCATCTCAGGAATAAGCAGAGGGTAGAAGGTTGTGGGCTGCCCCAGATGCATAAGAATGTACATAGAGAGAAAATCTAGATCACCTGAAATAAAATTGTTTGTATTTTGTCACCCAAGATAAAGTAGCCCATCAAGAGCTGAAGCCATTAGTATCACATGCAGAGATGAGGCTCACAGCCCAGACAAGCACAGGCCCAGAAGAAGCTATGCAGGGACAAGAGTCCCTGGACATTCCCATGACAGCCTTAGGGTGGTGCACAACAGAGGAAAGCACGAGCAGTGACAGCCATGCAGGCCAACAGTCTGCAGCGAGGCAAGCAGCCCTTAGCCCAAAACCAGAGCATCCAAGAAGACAGGTAAATTATGTAAGATCCACACAACACACATTCAAGCATCGACTTTATGCTAAGACTTTTCAAAGTACCAGAGATAACGTCAATGAACAAAAGAGATGATAGATTTGGAAAAGTCATCAAGAACAGACCCCGAGAGAGATTTGACAATTGCCAGATGGTGCTCAAACCCTGTTTGGGAGCTTCCTCATTCCACCCGAGTGCCTCATTTTCATCACTGTGGAACTTACTTTCTTCCTCAATGGCCTTCCTTCCTCTCATTGTCTTCCAGTGTGTCTGAGGTAAATCCAACCTGTCTCCCGGGAGTCTTCTGCCATAAAACAAAAGATGGTTCTCAAATTTAGCTGAGGAGAAGCCAGCCCAGGTTTCTCTCAACGAAGATGCCATCGGACTGCAGTACGAGGGCTAGAAAATCATCTGGATGCACAAATGAGAAGCCGAGGCTGGGGCCGGGAGGTATGGGAAGGTCTCGGGAGTCTGGGGATCTGGACAGAAGGCTCACCGTGGACATGTGAGGTGGTCAGCTTATGGAGCACACGCTGTAGCTCTTGGAAGGTGGGTCTGCGGGTAGCGAGGGGGATATCCCAAAGTCGGGGATCCCCACATTGCAGGGGAGCCTCACAGCCTCCAAAGAACAAGGACTGGCCAGAGTGGGGTGCACGCATCAGTATCGTCCCAGCCTTCTCCAGCACCTTAGCCCAGTCTGGCCCTGCCAGCAGGTCACGAACATCCTAGAGAAGAAAGTAACTCAGCCCTGCATCTCTTCACTTGCTACTTTTACTTTTTTTTTTTCTTCTTTTTTTGCGGTATGCGGGCCTCTCACTGTTGTGGCCTCTCCCGTCGCGGAGCACAGGCTCCGGACGCGCAGGCTCAGCGGCCATGGCTCACGGGCCCAGCCACTCCGCGGCACGTGGGATCCTCCCAGACCGGGGCACGAACCTGTGTCCCCTGCATCGGCAGGCGGATTCTCAACCACTGCACCACCAGGGAAGCCCTTCACTTGCTACTTTTAAATCTCCAACCAAAAAATAACCCACAGATCATGTGTAGGGAGTGGGAGGCAGAAGATAATGGAGGGGGCTTCCCTGGTGGCACAGTGGTTAAGAATCTGCTTGCCAATGCAGGGGATATGGGTTCGAGCCCTGGTCCAGGAAGATCCCACATGCCACGGAGCAACTAAGCCCGTGCACCACAACTACTGAGGCTGCACTCTAGAGCCCTCGTGCCACAATTACTGAAGCCCATATGCCTAGAGCCCGTGTTCTGAAACAAGAGAAGCCAACGCAATGAGAAGCCTGCATACCGCAACGAAGAGTAGCCCCCGCTCGCCGCAACTAGAGAAAGCCGGCGCGCAGCAATGAAGACCCAATGCAGCCAAAAAGAAAGAAAGAAAGAAGATAATGGAGGGAGAATGACAGGACTAAGACTCCTGGGCATTCACCCCATTCTACCTTCATCTACCCAAAAATAACCAAGACGGAGGATACAGGAGCCAGCCTCCCTACTGTAACATTTAATCAGTTGAGAGGGAAAAAGTGTGGATTAGAGGAGCACCAGATCTGGACACTTAACTCACCTTATATAGCATGTCTTCACTGTAGCGCCTCAGGATGGCTCCAGCAGAGTGGGAAGCTGCACCCCGGGCATCCCTAAGCCCCTGGGCTGTGCCCCACTTGGCCCGCACTGTGTAGCGGTGAAAGGTTTTGTGTGTCAACACTTCTTATCTGTAGACAGCACAGACTCAGTACTGGAAACCAGCTGATACTCCCAGGCTACCAGGATCCATTCCATCCTTACCCCATGCAGCACCCTCTCACACTTGGAAAACAGCACCAGCAAAGTGCCCAGCGGCAGCCATGAGCACCACGCAGTCCCTGGGACCTCTGCTTTTCAAGTTCTGTAGCAGCAGTTCTGCTTCTTGTGGGGGCACCTGGATGATGCAGGAGCAGCACAAACATATCTGTGGCACTTACTGACAGTAAGAAATAAGTGCCAATGCTAAGTGCTTCACATGCATCATCTCTTTTAATACAACTTATTTGTCTCCATTTTACAAATAAGAAAATTTGAGGGCTTCCCTGGTGGCACACTGGTTGAGTCCGCCTGCCGATGCAGGGGACATGGGTTTGTGCCCCTGTCTGGGAGGATCCCACGTGCTGCGAAGCGGCTAGGCCCATTGAGCCATGGCCGCTGAGCCTGCGGTAGTCAAGATCAAGTGGTAGAACCATAATTCAAACCTAGATTGGTCTATTTCCAAACTTAATTCCATTACACTTGACCCTTCTAAGATTCAAGCCAGTTCAGTCCAAGACTGTGCTGTCAAGTGTGATACCCACCCCCAACAGGAAGGAAGGAAAGAAGTGAGACACAGACTGTGCTGAGGGAAAATCTAGGCTGAGTGTACAGAAGGCTGGAGTTGACCACACAACCTGTGCTGGCACTTGCCTGGCGAGGGCCTAGGACACAACAATAGGCATAAAGAAACTGGCCCTGGGCATCTGGAAAAGAACCCCATGCGGGTAGAAGCCTCAGGGTCGGTTAGGCTTCTCAAACTCAGCCCTCTCCTCATCCAGTATCTGCAAGTCCTCCTTACTGGCTGAGTCCGAGTCTTCTGATCCTGAGATGCTGGAAAGATCTCCTGAGAACAACATGAGATATGCAAGTTTGGTGGCCCATCTTTGACCTTTCCTCAAGCTCCTAAACTAGGGTCTTTCTCCATCCCCATGACCTATCCCCACAGGTCTCCCAACAGTCATCACCTGTGGAGCTCTGCGTTTCAAAGTCCAGGACAGACAGGAGAGGCTTGTCCTTGAGATGCTGCTTTAGGTTAAACCGATGCCAGTCAAGCTTATAATGTTCCCTCTAGTAGGAGGCAAAGAAGGAAGCACAGTGTGGAAGCATGCCCCAGCCTGGCCTTTTATGGTATCCAAGACCTCTAACAGAACTCCAGGAAGTATGACCAGGTAACACTAACTTTCTTAGTTAAAACATGGAACTTTATTCATTAAAGACAAATGTCTACCTCTCCCCACCCACCATTATACCTTTGCTTCCACCATTTAGCTCTGTACCTGGTCTTTTACCTGTTCCTGGTGGTTCTGGAAGGTCTGGTCACAGGTTGAACAAAACAACTTCTCTGAAATACCCAGAGGACCCTGGAGTGGTTTTCTTTCTGGGCTTATTCTCTCCCCTGAACCTAAATAAGGGGAGGGTAAACAGAGGTAGAAAAGGAGCCCAAATCCACAGTATCTAGGATTACATTCAGTGTCTGATATACAAAGCAGAGGAGGATACAAAAAGAGATGGCATGTCCTTGCCTTCAAGGAATTTACAATCTAGTAATAATGAAGCGAATAGCACAACAATCACTTTATACAATAAATATGCTTCTGAAAAGATGTACGTAAAATGAATATAAATCAAACATTGTATGTAAATTAACCAAAGGGATTGTTTAGAGAAATCCTAGAAAATGATTTCTGAGAAGGTTAAAATTCTTAACTGCAAAAATCACTTCCCAAATGCCACTTTTTTAGCTTATATTTCCAATTACAGTGTGCAGTTTGTTTTTTAAAAAGGTACGAGAGAAACAGCCAAACTAAAGCTGTATGAAACCAAGAGTAAGTTGTTTTATATTCAGCAAGAAGGAATGATTTGATTGGAATAGTTAAATTTGGACTATGTCAAGGAATTCTGAAGTGTTTTTGCAGGCAGTGGTGGTAACGTGATGAGGCATAAACAATGGCAAGAGATTTGTTTGGAGACAATTCAGGAGCCTGTTCTAGAAATCCAGAGATCGAGTGAATTCTTTTTTTTTGACCAAAATATAGATTTAAATTTTACACGTACAAATGTTGCCTTAAATTCATAACAGTTAAGAAACATATACACAAATTTCAGCTTAAAAGGAAAAGTAAAAAACAAACACTCTGCAGTTGGGGTTTGATAAGTTTTATCCAGTAGAAGGAGATGTCAACAAGGGCTCCTAAGCTGGGAAACACCAATAAGAAATGTGTTTCCTTTAAGAGCAATAAGCTCCAAAAAGCCCTGTCACGTCCCTCACGGGTCCACCCCAAACCTTCCCAGATACCTGGACAGGAAATCTGCAGAGCCTGGGCCAGAGCCTCCCCGGGAGCGTGGCTCACCAGGCGCAGGCCCTGAAGGACCGGAGTATCCGCCTTGAGGTCAAACGGAGACCGACACAGAAGCCTGGGCTGCAGCTGAAGCCGGCGACATGGCTGAGCAGAAAGGCGGTTAAGAAACAGAGCTCCCCAAAGCAAGATCCTATGCCGCGTCTCCCGCCAGCATGACTTGATCTCCCCCACGCCGCAAGGCACCACGGCCCTCGCCCTGGTGACAGGGGTCAATACGTGACCCCCGCCCGCTTTCTCACACCACCCAGTCTCGGACCACACAAGAGTGAAATGGGGGCGCATTCAGCAACCAAATCCAGTCCAACAGAATTAAAATCACTGAGGTTCCTTAACCAACCGCTCCTCATTACGTGCGACGACCTCCAGCAGTGACTAAACCGCATGAACTCGTCCCTGCCCTCAGAAGCTGCCCCAAAGGTCCCGGGGAGCCGAGTGACACGGCCGTCTACAGTTCGAAGCACGGATTGCTGCAAAAGCACAACAATCTCATCACTACGGGGCAGCAAAGAGGACAAAAGGCGTCGCCCGCACCTGAACCCCTCCCCACATAGAGCGCACAATTGGTCCCCTGACTTCCAAGGCCCGCCTCTAGCCTTTAGTCCCGCCCAAGACGCCGAGATTGGCCGTCGTGTCTCCACCCATCATGTTCATTGGTCAGCCTAACTGCGGGTGACAGTGAGTGGCAGACGCCGGGCCTACTGCTCCGGGTCGGGCTGAGACCAGTGGAGCCGACGGAGCCCCTGGAATCACCCGGGTCACCGTCCCTGAGGTGAAACGCGAGACCGGATACCGAAATCTCACGGCCCGTGTCGGGCCTGTCCAGGGGTGCCCTCGGAGCCCTAAGTGAGCTCGCGGCGAGTAACGGGGGAAGGGGCGCCGCGGGCGGGGCGGGGGCGCGCAGCCGGAATGTTTTGATAGCGGGGGCGCGCGGGCGGGGGCGCGCGCGAGCCACGGGGCCGCGCGCAGGGCTGTCCGCTGTTGGGAGCCGAGCCCTTGGCTGGGGGCCGGGTGATCTGGGGGCGCGCTGGGCTCGGGTCGTGGCAGCTGGGTGTAGGGAGGCAACCCAGCCCACCTGCGGGTATCGGCTGTCGGACTGGATCGATTCCTCCAACGTTCGCAGGAACCCCTGAACCCAGGCCCGGCTGGCAGGGGCTCTATGGGCCCTGGGTCTACACTGACCCAGTAAGTGGTGAGTTCCCTGAGGGCTTGGTCAGCTTAGGACCCAGGGTTCTCACTAACCCAGGGAATCCCATCGGGGCCTGGCTGGGCAGGGCTCCACAGCCTCGGGGTCTGCACTGACTGGTTGAGTGCCACCTAGATCATGCCTGGCTCCAGGACCAAGGCAACCCACAGTTCACCCAGGATCTAGGTCTACACTGACACAATCAGTATATCCCATCCAGGAACACTGCCTGCCTGCTGGGCCTTTGGGGCTAGGGAAGCAAGGGAAGGAGTTGACCAGAAAGGTCCTTTTTAGAAAAGACTCTCTTCTTGGCTTTTGGGTTTGGGGCTTTGTGGACCCTGAACAGTCCATCTAATTTCTGAGGCTGAAGTGGGGCAATGGAGAAACAGTCCAGACCTGTACAGACTCAGTCTCCACAGGTTCATTAAGACACTTCTTGGGACCCTAGAGTTGAATGAGTGGCCGTGTATGATACAACCAGAGGAAGTATGCATAGCCCTAGGCTGGAAGGGTGCCTCTTTCCCACTGCAGCCTCCCTGCCCCTTGCTTGGCCACCCCTGAGTGTGGGGCGTGGGGGGACGGTAAGGTTGGGTTTATTTCTGTTCCCACTCCCCACTCTCCGGGGCCTGACACCTTCTCCTCCAGCAGCTGCAGAGCCAGGGCATCGAGGGCTGGAGTGGAGCAGACACTGCCCATGGAGCTGGTAGGGCCATGTGCTTATCTCAAATCTCTGTTTACAAAGTGCTTCCAAACTTCTAGTCTCTTGGGAGACCAAGGTTTCTCTAGGAGGGGAGGGGGAGGACCCCTTCTCTCCAGTGAATAGAAGATGAAGCAGACCCCCCACAGGGCCAGAATCTGCCTTCAGGCCAGCAAGGCCTAGGTAGACACTCAATAAAGGCTCTGGGAATGACTGACCTCATTGGTCAGTGAGGGCCTCCCAAGCCCTGAGCTTGCTGCTCTCCTTGGGTTACTGCTTTTTCTCTGCCTTTGATCCAAGAAGACTGGTAGTGGAGACCAAGCCCAGGATTCCTTCTCACTCATTTCTGGTCTGGTAGGCAGGGGAGAAGATGAACAGCACCAGGGGTCTGAACTTGGGTCTCTCCTTCCTCATTACCCACAGGTGGACAAGGTGGACAGGGGGCGGTGGTGATGGCGCAGTTTGACACTGAATACCAGCGCCTAGAGGCCTCCTACAGCGATTCACCCCCCGGGGAGGAGGACCTGTTGGTGCATGTCCCTGAGGGGAGCAAGTGTGAGTTCCTGGACGTGACAGCCAGAGCTGGGGCTTGGGGGGAGAATTGGTGGAGGAACACTGAGGGAGCAGGGGCTTCCACTTCTTCAGGGCTCTGACGTCTCTGCTCCTGTACCCACAGCACCTTGGCACCACATCGAAAACCTTGATCTCTTCTTCTCTCGAATATCCTTTGTGTCTCTGTGTTGGAGCTCTGGGACCTATAGCCCCTCTCTAAGCCAGGCCCCTGATGAGAAGTTGGTGTGGGTATGGTTCTAATCCTTTTCAGGCACCTTGAGCCTGAAAGAGGCTAGAGAAATAATGATCATTATAAACAATGATACCTCACATTTATCAAGAGCTACGTGCCTTGCATTTTGTAGTGTTAGTTTATAAGGAACCTCTCTAAGTGTGATTCTCCTTTTTGATGGTATGCTAATAACCATAATAATTAATGTCATTTGACTTATTCTGTGTCAGTTCTGTGTTAAATACTTTATATGCACTATCTCAGACCTAATAATCCTATGAGGCAGGTGCTATTATTCCCAACACACCACTACAGACAGAAGCTTAGAGAGGTTAAGTAACTTGGCCAAAGTCACACAGCTTGAAAGTCATAGAGCCAGGACTTCAGCTCAGGTATGTGACACCAAAGTCTGTACTTTTTTTTTTTTTAATTTTTAAATTTTTTTAATGCCGTGTTGGGTCTTCATTTCTGTGCGGGCTTTCTCTAGTTGTGGCAACCAGGGGCTACTCTTTGTTGCGGTGCACGTACTTCTCATTGTGGTGGCTTCTCTTGTTGCGGAGCACGGGCTCTAGGAGTGTGGGCTTCAGTAGTTGTGGCGCACGGGCTTAGTTCCATGTGGGATCTTCCCGGACCAGGGATCGAACTCATGTCCCCTGCATTGGCAGGCAGATTCTTAACCACTGCACCACCAGGGAAGTCCCTGTGCTCTTAATTGCTGTCTATACAGACCACTTTTTCTTAACAATTACACGTTTATAATCTACACCAGAAGAATGGCTTCACTTGTATGCTCATCGGGGAGATCTTTGAGCTCATGTAAGTATAAGAAGGGATGGACGATGTGGTGAAGGAATACATTTCAGTGTTTCCTCTCTTTGAGCTCAACGCCTGGCCCAAACCTTCAATGCAAGTCAGTCCTAGGCTCAAAACTCTGCAACCATTTATAGTTCAAGGACTGGGTGTGACACCGTTTTACAGCCTTATCTTTTTTAATCTCACTTATAAGGAAAGCTTTCCAAGTCCTATCTCTTCCACAAAGAGAAGTCAGATTTGATCATTTCATCAGAGCTCCAGTGGAATGGGCATGATTCAGGCAGGAGGTATCAGAGATGCCAGCCACTTACTTGAGAAAAATTTCTCTGTTCTGCCTTGGTTGCACCTTAGGCCTGCTGCTGAGTAGAGAGCCTGCTAGGAGGAAGGAGCCATATGGCTTTGCCAAATGTCAAGGGGTTGGGAAACCTTCCCTCCGTAAGAAAAGAGTTCAAATCCGCAAAGGGCTTCTAACTACCATCTCAAAAGGAAACCAGGTACTGGGGACCACAGACCACAATTTAAGACCTTTGAAAGAGTCCAGCGAGTGGCGGCAGAGATTACTATGAGGTAGAAAAGCAGGCTGATTCTGTGGTGCCTGAAGCTAAGAGCAAAAAATAGGAGCTGGCTTGGGTCCCCTGGGGCCAAGCAGTAGAGAGAGCCCACAGGGAGTTCTCCAGCCCATTTCCCCAGAGGCTGCTCCCTAATTTTGGTCTGGAGCTTCCAGACTCTTCCTTTTTCCCATGTTATTTCACTGGTATCTCTCTGACTTTCGGACTGCGCCCTCTCTTCCCAACTCCCCAGGCAGTTCCTCTTTGTGGTTGCGTTCACCACCTTCCTGGTCAGCTGTGTGGACTACGACATCCTATTTGCCAACAAGATGGTGAACCACAGTCTTCACCCTACCGAGCCTGTCAAGGTTACTCTTCCAGATGCCTTTTTGCCTGCCCAAGTCTGTAGTGCCAGGTAAGTGCTGCAGTTCAGAGGGCACCAGAGCCTGTTGTTCAGCTAGCAGGTGGGGAATGGAGTGGAGCGTGAGGCAGTAACATTCCCCAGAACACAGGCTCAGGCTCAGCCTCTCCAAATCCTTCAGGACAGCAGCATGTCTGCCAAGGCTCCTCAAGGGCCACTCCTCCTCCCCTTCTTTTCCCCACCAGGATTCAGGAAAATGGCTCCCTTATCACCATCCTCGTCATTGCTGGTGTCTTCTGGGTTCACCGGCTCATCAAGTTCATCTATAACATTTGCTGCTACTGGGAGATCCACTCCTTCTACCTGCATGCTCTGCGCATCCCCATGGTGAGACTGGGAAGGTGGGCAGTTACAACCACAGGCCAGGACGTCTTCTGCAGCTTGGGAAGTGGGGGGGGTTGTATTCCCAGGCATTGGGCAGCCTCACCCGTCCTTGGCAGATCAAGGAGCATCCGGTTAAAGGCTCCACTCAGAGGACCCCTGAGCCTCACAGCTCATGCAGGGCCAGGGGCCGAGGCAACAACCACACCTTCCATCCCTCGTCTCTTCCCCACCCCATAGTCTGCGCTTCCATACTGCACGTGGCAAGAAGTACAGGCCCGGATTGTGCAGACCCAAAAAGAGCACCAGATCTGC